ATATTCAGTATGCCTAGACTATACAGCGTGTCGCACTAGTGCGGGAAAGTCCAATATCTATATTAAAATAAGGATTATATGGATTTCTTTTTACTGTGTTGACACATTTCTCGGAATGTACAAATTAAAAATATATTCAACTATACAGGGCGTTCCACTTTTCCTGGACAGACACCAACTTTGGTTTTTTAAATGGAAACACACACTTTTATATTATTTTCGGATTCTACATCAAAAATAAAGGGTACTTTGTGTAGAATAGTTCTATTCAAATATTCACAGTTTTTGAGATATCTCGCTTGAAAGGTTTTTCTAGTCGATATTGATTGCTGACATTTTCTGATACTTACAGGTTATACTAAGCCCATTTTTTTATCAGATGTTTAGTAAGGATCTCTTCCGAATCATGTTCCAAAAACTGGCCTGCGTTATACAAGGTGACCAAAATATCATGTCAAAATTGCCAATTGAAAAATTGAAAAATCTCGATTTTTTTTTAATGCAACGCCCTGTATATTTTCATACCATGAGATGCAGAATTAAATTCCCTACAACTTTGCTATACCTGCTCCTATACCAAAATTCATTAGTTTTCAATGAAATCTAATTTCTATGAAAAAATGCGAAGTTTACAAATAGCTTATATGTAAAATAACGTAGTAGGCTCCTGTCAAATGATAATCTGGATAATTTGTCGATTCACATAAGGTTTAATAGAAAGAAAGGTTTAATAGAAGAAGAGAAGCCCATGGTAACTGTTTATTGGCAAGTCGTATTTACCAAGCTAATAATCCAGATTTACAAAGATATTCTCGTACAAAGTGTTTTGTAAAACTGAAGGAGAGGTTTGAAAGAACGGCAAATGCAAATTATGAGAAGACAACAAGAACACACGCATGTGGTAATCAGGATAGTCAAATTGACATTTTGGAATGTGCAGTCCAAAATCCATCTACAAGTGTCAGAGAAATTAGTGATGAAATTAGTATTTCCAAAAGTGTGGTTAATAGAACGTTAAAGAAAAACAACTTCCACCCCTATCATTCTGAGCATCACCAATTCTTAACACAGCAAGATTTTCAGAAGCGAGTACAGTTTTGTGAGTGGGCAACTATAAAGCTACAACAAGATGAAATTTTTTTTCAAAGGTGTTATTTACTGACGAGTCATCCTTTGCCAATACTGGTCGAGAGAGTCGACATAATTATCACCATTACGCCGATCATAATCCCAGATTAATAAGACAAGACGATCATCAACACCGCTTTAAAGTCAACGTTTGGGCGGGAATATGCGGAGAATATGTCATTGGACCACATTTTCTTGAAGGAAACTTAACTGGTAATGGGTATTTGCAATTTTTACAAAACGACTTGCTCCAATTGCAGGGACATATTCCTCCGGATGACTTAAACAGTCAGTGGTTCCAACATGATGGTGCCCCTGCACATTCCACACTGGCGGTAAGTTTTCTCATTATGTAAGTTATGTAAATTCATAGAAAAACTGTTTCAGGTTAGAGAATACTTAAATGATTTGTATCCAGATAAGTGGATAGGTAGCCAATTCCATGGCCTCCCCGATCCCCAGACCTGTCTTGTCTTGATTTTTTTTTATGGGGCTATATAAAAGACAGGGTGTATGAAACTCCTCCGACAGATGTAGAAGATTTACGGGCAAAGATAAGAAATGCTTTTTTGACCCTAACTCCGGAAATGCTGCGAAATGTGTCAAGCAATTTTCGTCGTAGAATTGCTCAATGTCTATAGAAAAATGGCAGACATTTTGAGCGGTTACCTGTTAATTACTAATTTAACTAGGTCTTTATTACTTTTGTTAGAAATGCACGATGTTAATTTACTGTTTTGGATACTGCATGCGTGTGTTCTTGTTGTCTTCTCATAATTTGCATTTGTTGTTCTTTCAAACCTCTCCTTCAGTTTTACAAAACACTTTGTACGAGGATATCTTTGTAAATCTGGATTATTAGCTTGGTAAATACGACTTGCCAATAAACAGTTACCATGGGCTTCTCTTCTTCTATTAAACCTTTCTTTCTATTAAACCTTATGTGAATCGAAAATTATCCAGATTATCTTTTGACAGGAGCCTACTACGTTATTTTACATATAAGCTATTTGTAAACTTCGCATTTTTTCATAGAAATGAGATTTCATGAAAAACTAATGAATTTTGGTATAGGAGCAGGTATAGCAAAGTTGTAGAGAATTTAATTCTGCATCTCATGGTATGAAAATATACAGGGCGTTGCATTTAAAAAAATCGAGGTTTTTCAATTTTTCAAATGGCAACTTTGACATAATATTTTGGTCACCCTGTACAACGCAGGCCAGTTTTTGGAACATGATTCGGAAGAGTCATCCTTACTAAACATCTGATAAAAAATGGGCTTAGTAGCAATTAGTATAACCTGTCAGTATCAGAAAATGTAAGCAACCAATATCTACTAGAAAAATCTTTCAAGCGAGATATCTCAAAAACTGTGAATATTTGAATATACAAATTCTACACAAAGTGCCCTTTATTATTGATGTAGAATCCGAAAAAAATATAAAAAATGAGTGTTTCCATTTAAAAAACCAATGTTGGTGTCTGTCCAGGAAAAGTGGAACAACCTGTATAGTTGAATATATTTTTAATTTGTACATTCCGAGAAATGTGGCAACACAGTAAAAAGCAAAATCTATATATTCATCATTTTAACATAGATATTGGACTCTCCCGCACTAGAGGGACACGCTGTATACAGACGGACGAAATTATCCATTTTTTATAACGAGCGTTCAAATAAAAACGTGGTCGAAGTTGGCTCTGACACATTGGACGTAGGGAGTAGCTTATAGCGACCAACTTAACCTCATTTCTCAACGAGCTGTATAGCAGCTGTCAGTTTCAATAACGTTAATGACTATATAACTTTATTTTAAAGAATAATCGTGATAACAATAACAAACAATTAAAGGAGCTGCGGAAAGTGTCCCCCTCCTTNAGTATCAGACAATGTAAGCAGCCAATATCGACTAGAAAAACCTTTCAAGCGAGATATCTCAAAAACTGAATATTTGAATAGAACTATTCTACACAAAGTACCTTTTATTATTGATGTAGAATCCGAAAAAAATATATAAAATGTGTGTTTCCATTTAAAAAACCAAAGTGGAACACCCTGTATAGTTGAATATATTTTTAATTTGTACATTCCGAGAAATGTGGCAACACAGTAAAAAGAAAAATCTATATATTCCTCATTTTAACATAGATATTGGACTTTCCCGCACTAGTGGAACACGCTGTATAGGGACGGACGAAATTATCCATTTTTTATACATCTTTAACTGCATTGCTAAAATTGACATTTTTCTTTCATAGTTCGATTCCTCTCTCACTTTGCTTAAAAAAAGGTATTCCGTATATCAGTCGATATCTTGTACCGTTTTTGAGAAAATCGAATTTTATTAAGAACATATTATGTCAAAAATGCGATATTAACATTTTTGTAAAAATCTTGGTTTCTTTGGAAATTGAGATGACTGTTAACAAGTCTGTATGATTAGCAGTTAGGTATTTATCATAAATCATTTTGACACCATTTGTTGACTCGATATCACGGAGGATTTTAGCTATGAAGAATTTGCAGATATTCATCTAATGTACGAACTTACAATAACTCCCCAACGAAGCTCGACAGGATTTTTTATGAAGTACCACATCTATTTTGACCTCCCTCGTATTCCCTTCATTTTTGACATGATCTTTCCGGACACCCTGTATAAGTATCTAATTCTGAGAGTGACCATTTTTTATCTTTCAAACTATTTCATATTTGACAAAAATCTGAAAAACTGCACGCAAAAAGAAATTCTTAAAATATACGCAAATAAATATATTCTTGACGATAATATAGCATAATCTTAAACTAAGTAAAATCTCGTCCATCAAGAAAACGTTCATTTATATGAAGAAATTTTATTTAGTTTAAGATTGTGGTATATTACATTAAGAATATATTTTTTTGCTTATACATATTTTTTTTGCGTGAGATTCTTGTTATACAAGTATGTAATTTTTTATGGTAGAGTCTAGTTCTGTAAGTGGATTTAATAACATTCATAATTTTTTTCCATTTTAAACCAAGCATTTCAAATATGATAAAATACTAAAGGCTGTACGAAAACATGTTCTAGTTATATATGTATGTTGATAACATGCATCATTTTTTTTTAAATAAAATTCGAATTGATATATTATGTTTAGATATTTCTTTAGATATATTTAGATATTATAAATATCCCATTCTCAAATTATTTGTGTATTATAATAATAGATAACAGTAATATCACAATTTGGAAAATAGCAACTTTTCTTTAATTTACCAGTCAGTATCATAAAAAATTAAGAAATTATAATGGAATCCTTTTTTTATTATTATTGCCTGCCCAAACTGCGATAGTAAATATACGCTACTCCCACTACGTCTTCCACTGCTGCGCGAAGGTAACCATGACCACCACTATAAACACTGTACAGATTTAGGGACGACTTGCGAGGAGCCAACGTATTCAAATGAATTCTGCAAATCGAGTTAAATTGACCGCACATTACAAATTTAACATTTCCTTTTTAATGTAATTCATAAGGCTGATACTAATAATTATCTAAATAACATTGTAAACTAAATTTTATTACTATGAAAACCAACCGCCAACGCTATCCCAGAAACAGTAACTTCAGTATCGACGACATTTACGAACAATAAACATATTTTTGTCTCAATATTTCATTAAAGAGGAACTAGCGCTGTTAAATATGCATTTATGTATTGTCTTTATTCTTTAATTTCTGAAAACTAACACTGTTTTCATTAAAATGTTCAAAAAGGGCTATTTTTTATGGAATTCTTTCACTACCTATATTTTCAACGATAAATCTGTAACATCTTGTCGGGTATTAAGCTAAACGAAATTAGTCTAAATACTCACCTTTAGAGCTTCTTCATGGGATATTCCAGTAAATGGCGTCCCATTTACCTCAAGAATAGAATCCCCCGGTCTCAGTCCTGATCGTTCTGCAACGCTGCCTTCTTCCACTCTGGAAATGTACACCCCCACCCCTGTAAAATTAAGTTCATTCAATCCAAAGCAGTCTGTACGCCTTTAATAAAAACGTGGGTGTAAAAAATTTCACAGTGAGGAAGATTGATGGATGAAAGAATTTGGTTGTACGCAAGATAATAGGCTTTAAATACCTCAAATTGATAGATGGGTAGATATTTGCAAACCGTTAAAAGAAGTTCGCGGAACTTAAATTGTAAAATCGTAGTAATAAATAAGAGAGTTGGTAACATCAATTAAAAATATGAAAACTTTGTAGAACATAATTAGTTGTAATTCAAAAAGTTTTCAATTAATGTCGGGGCTAGATAATAAATTACAAAGTAAATCTTCTAAGTCATTGTTTTGAATTTACCTTCTAAAGTTTACGCCATAATTTTGTTTCGCCTATAACGGCATTTATCTTATTCCGATAAAGTAGGTAATTGTTCATTAATACACTATATGCACTATAATACGCGAATAGTTGTTAATATTTCGAAAACCCATGTGTTTTTGTTCTTAAGATTCTAATCAAGATGACTTAAAATAAAATATTTACGATTAGACGAAACTAAATTTTTAAAATCAACTCAATGACTGATCGTTTTGACACAAGAGGTTATTTAGTTACTTAAAATTTTATATATTTTATACAGGGTGATTCAGAACTTATCCAAAAAAAACTGGATGTACAGGGGACCCTTACAAATACAATTTTGTAAAGAAAATATCAAAAAGGTCAGTTCAAAAATGATTTAAAAATACACTTCTGCACGGCACTGGAAACTGGTCCACTGTAAAACCTGACCTCTCACAATGGGTCCGGCATGGCGGTGTGATTAGAAAACGGACAAAAACTTTCGCACGGAAAGAAATATGTAAATAGAATTTTATCACACCTATTTTATATCGGCAAATTCAACTGCTTTTGCCTTTATTAATTAATAAAATTAATTTGTGTTTTTAAATAATAAAATCATTTGACATACCCGATGTTACAACAATTGTTCAATATTTTATCCACCAATGTGTAAACACATTTGGGTCCGTTGTACTCAGTTTCTACGAACTAACACAAATGTTGTCTTGTTTCACCATAACACAAATGCTTATCCATCAACTCCGAGTACACGCAAACCATTTTTGACACTAACTACCCATTTTTGACACTAACTACTAAAAACCTATTGTAAACACCACAGATAACAAGTAAATATCGCAACGATTGCAAAATCCGAATTAGCATTCGGAGTCGCTGAGGCCACGTGGCGAATGACGCTGGACAGTTGTCCAGCTATGTAGTGGTTGAATGTACTATAACTTCAATATTTTTTTTCTCGGAAACTAAGGATTTTACAAAAATTTTTTTTTACGATATTGATTCCATTTCTCATGCTGCATCTATTCCCAAATTTTTTTGGATAAGTTGTAAATCACCCTGTATACATAGTAATTCTGGCAAATTCCAATAAAATTTTAAAATTTAAAAATAAATATAGAGATTTACTTATACAACTTAGGTAAAACAGATTTGCTCACAGATATACAGGATGTTATTTTTAATTATAGGCCAGGGATGCAAAATACTGTCCCACTGGACGATTCTTAAATATCTTTTACGAATATAATATCCTATTACCTCATAACGATAAAGTGATTATTTTCCAGATAATTGAAATTAAAACGATAAAGTGATTATTTTCCAGATAATTGAAATTAAATATGTATATTAAATAAATATTGTCCATATTCGTATTGATCTTTCTATCTATAAATTTGGTTACATATTTACATGACTCTTGTATAGCCTTAACTAGGAATCTTTAACCTGCTCTTGTTGTTTTCGAGCAAGGATCTATGGGGCGGACTCGCTATTGGAACCCCTAGACCCGTCTTAATTTTCAAACCATTATTACTTGACAAGAGTTATGTCAATAAACAGTCAGTTTTATTAAAAATCATCCGGCTATAATTTTTTAAGATTAATAAAAAAAAACATGAAAAACATTGTGAGGCTTCTTGAAATATGGCTGCTTTAAAAAATGTATACATGCTCAATTTAACTAATATATGTTGCATAGTAAAGAATACTACAGAAGAACACTGTATTCTAACTTACTAAACACAAAACACACAAATAATCCCTTACCTTAAGAACAGAATAATTGGAGAGTTCTCAATACACCAAGATCGTTTATTTGAATTAAACGATTCAAAGTAGCAATATGTATGTATTAATATTATATGGGAATGATAAATAATTATTCTTTCTTATGAAAGATACAACTGAACATTTATTAATACTTGAGATGAAGTGAACTGACTGATACGAGTAGAGGCAACTTATTTTATTACGTCAGTATGGCTTCATACAAAGGAAGTCAACAGCATCTAATTTAGTACTTTTCTGAAGTTTTGGACAATAGAGGGCAGGTCGACATTATTTATTTATTTATTTCACTACATATCCAACAGGCAAATGCCCAGTTACAAGATACAAAACCAATGTAGTAATACAACACACAACGCATTCGAAGATATATGTCAATAAATAGAATTAATAATAATAATTGAACACGGTAATATACCAGCACAAAATATAGACATAATATAATATACATACATATACACACAGAAAAATATATATTAGACCAGCAAAACTATAGTAGATATAAAATATATAAAATTATCACACAAATAAATACATAAAAATATAAATACATATGTACACACAAGTTTTGTGTAAGGGTTTCGCTATTTATTTATTTAATTAACTTAATTGGCAAGAGCAATTATTATCCGCGAGTCGAGCTGAACCGTCCGTTTGCCCCACTCTGCCGCGCGCATAATCCCACTAAGACTCTTGATCAGTTAAGGGGGGATTGAGGCAATAAAACCACCGTTCCTGGACGAAAATAGGCAGTTCACATCCTGAACTCGAAGAGCTCCAGTTCCAGCCTGAGGACCACCCCGAGGACCTGAAAACCAACCCGAGACCGCCATCCGACCCAAGGAGTTAGCCGCCGGGAGCAACCATCCGGAATAAGTAGGCAAATTGTATTTTCCGATATTTACCTGTCCTACTATGGTATATATCTGGCCGTTTTGAACTCTGGCAAGACAGTACGACCACAGCGTTGTCGGCGAAGGTTTGGCTGGGTACTCCACCGCCCTCGTTCGACGAACGTTGTCCGTCCCGTCAACCGAACTGCTGGTTTGGCTGGGTACTCCACCGCCAGCGGAAGACGTTGAGTGCAGGCTCGTGCGGCAGCAGCGTTATCGGCGACGGTTTGGCTGGGTTCTCCACCGCCCTTGTTCGACAAACGCTGTGAACCCCTTTACTGAAACTGCTGGTTTCAGTAGAGGACGTGAAGGTGTCAGACTGTACGGCAACAGCGTTGTCGGCGAAGGTTTGGCTGGGTACTCCACCACCTAAGCTTGATAAACGCTGTAAGGCACAATAACCGAAACTGCTGGTTTGGCTGGGTACTCCACCGCCAGTAGAAGACGTTGTGTGTCAGCTGTGCAGCGACGGATAGACCCTCGAAGTTTGGCTGGGTACTCCACCGCTTCTGGGAGAAATCTGTCGGCTGCCCCGCATTTGAACTCGCACCTCGCCCAGACCTTGCCTCCTGTTCACCAACATAAATCATTTTCCTGACTACCGTTTGCTTATTTGTGCCCGTTATAAACTGCTTTGCTTGGCTTTCTCCCTGGCTGGTTAAAACCTCCGCATAATTCCTGTCGCTTTGCTAGAAACTGCCGCCGATATTTATTTGTAGAATTAGAGTAACCCGTAATTATTTTTCTGTTTCAGAACCATTGGGGATAATTTATTTATTGATTATTTATTTCTCTAATTTATTAACCTTATTTATTTTTCCCTTTCTAGCACCGACCGAAATTTAAAACCGAATATTACTCTGGCGTACCATTTCTTAAAGTATTAGACTGGTTATTAAATAAACCAAACGCCAAATACTCCGCTTTTCTACCGTACCGATTTCGAGTCTAGATATTTGACTATGTGCTAATTTTGTATTTATTTACAGCACCGAAAAACCGCATCGGCATTTAAATCCGTCGTAAATAATAATTGCTCTAACCCATTCTGTTTTAATTACACCGCTGGTAAATTGATTGTATATTCCTGATTTTAGTTAGCGATAATAATTATTGTAATTAGAATCTACTTTACTTTTGTTTGTTTGTTTCAATTTCCGTAGGCCTTATTAATAGAAAATAAATCTAGTAAATATATTTCCACCTTGTATTCATTATTAACACCGATAAGATTGATAAATTCCGATCAGTAAAAAGTCGCAGTATCTTTTTGTGACCTACACTGATAAGTCCGTTTATTTTAAAAGTAAAATAACACTACTACATACTTTGATTAAAATTAAGAGAAATATAACAGGCCCCTGGATTTAAACTTTCTTCACTGCAGCTATCCCGAACATTTACTCTAAACCAAGGGTAGGGTTCACGTGGAGTTTCCCCCACGTAAAAGATAGGGAAACTGGCGCCAGAGACAAACCGAATAAAAAGATTTAATCCGGAGTACGTTTCTATGACGTCACTCACCACCGCCGGCTGCCAACCACCGCTGCCGATAAACTAGTAGTCAAGGGTCGTCATAAAATTAGGCGTCCAAACAGGGACGTCAGTGACGTCAATAAATCTAGCAAATTGGAATTCGCAATGGTGAATTAAGATTCCGTTTAGAGTTGGTAGTATACCGGGGGCGGCCACAAGTAACGTCTGAACCGAACCGTCACCACCAAAACCAAGTAAAGTACGTTATAATCGAATATGATTCCATTGTAATTATGATATCTGATTTATTACTTTCATTTTCAAAATTAGGAATCGATTCCAAGGCAACATTTTAAACTTTTATCTTTTCTGAAAGATGGATATCAAAATGATCTACTAAATCGATTTAATTTTGAATCGCTGGGCATCAGATGTAATATCATACGGATTGAGCAAAATCAGCCTAGTAAGCGTCATT